TGTTTAGCGCATTTTCTTTTTACTATAATGCCCTGCCAACACAAAACCACTGTGAAGATCTAGGAGCACAGAGAATGGAGGTCAATGCTACAGCGCTCATGGGTTATGGGAGAGAACTACAGACCCCACACCCTTGCCTAAGCCTCCCCATCTCATAAGTTTGTCAAAGTGTCCCTGCTGCTGACTCTGGGCCCCAACATTATCCATTCCTTCCCCAACCTCTCCATTTCTTCACCTACTTGTTCAGTCAGACATTCAACCACTATGAAATGCCTCTTCCCTACAACACATAAGCAACACACGCCAACTCTCAAGGAATGCAACTTAGTGGAGGACAAAAAGCAAGTAAATATGCAGTAACAATGCAAACATGTGTCACTACAAGGATAGGTACCAAGTGATAAGGAACCCTGCAGGGATGAACAACCAGCCAGCTTTGGAGGGGCAGAGAAAACAACCCTGAAAAGGAAGCTACAAGAATAAAGAGCAGTAGGCCACTCCATGAGGTGGGAGACGGTGGTGAGGAATGCCTCAATGGGTGGAACAGCATGTGAGAGGCAGAAAGAGCAAATGTAGCCAGTCCAGAGGGCTGGAATGGATGGCGAGATGGGGAAAAAGTGAGAGCTCACTCCACCTAAAGCCAGGCCTATGGGGAGCCCTCAGGTGCTCCTGGATGCCTCCTCTAAGAGCCTGGCAATTCAGAAAAAAGAATGACCCTGTGTATCATAAAGGACTCAAGTCTTAATGAGAGGACTCTTCTAGACACACACCATCACTGTATCTGTTGATTTAAGCAGCAATGGGTAAGCTAATCAATACTTAATTTTAGGAAAGTCACAAGCTATGTGAATAAGGCAATGGACAGATAAGGTCTACAGGCAGGAGATTTCTATCTGGCTGAAATATCAAACTCCTAAGTGGTATATGAAATATACCACCACATATAAAAAATTGATGAACGTAATTCAGCCATAAGAAGTCCTATGTAGTGGACAGATCAATATAATCACCTCCTAAGAAGTTATTACAGTGGGAGAAACTGGGCCTGGCTTCACCCTGAGTTCTTAAGCAAGTAACTGACCTTCAGTTTCTTCATTCTCACAAGAAATAGTTGCTATGGTTGTCTCCAGCACTTCTAAGACCCATCATTCTGGCAGGATGTAATGATCAAAAGTATTTTATCACCAAAGGCAGGGATTTAAGTAACTTTTTTAAGCCACAAACTTACAATGGTTTTATCTGGGGGGAAAAAAAATGGATGGGCCCCCAACCTGTCTAAAATTTAAAAAATATACACATTTAAGTTCCTGTACCTTTTAAAAGTTGACAAACCATGCATAACCAAATACAAAGATAATTAAAATTTTAGGATAAGCAAATGAGAGGATAATTTTTTTTTTAAGAAATGAGAAAGTAAAAAAATTAACCTAACGAGGCGGGCAGTGATTCGCTGCTCACTTCCCCTTCTGCTGGTTTCATTTCCCTTCTTAGGTGAAAACACTCCTAATATGTAAATCAGTCCACTACAGACTTCAGAGTCCTTTCTGCTAAGATTTACAGAAATTTTTATGCAAAAGAAATTATTTCTAGACTTTCATGCACTGGAAAAGGAGACTTACAAAATACACCAAACTAAAGTGGATAAATGTATGTGGCAAAGCAGAAGCAAGTAACTAAAGATCCTACTTTTAAACATTTAGAAATGTTTAAGTAGTAAAACGTAGAAATATAAATATTCTATAATTTTTAAGAACTCAGTAGTTAAAAGTGAGACTCAAATCATTTAGGAGAACCTACTAAGTTTCAGGTACTATGTTAACTTGGGATCTTTCTGGTTTAGGCCCCTTACAATCCTACTGGATAGTATTATCTCTATTTCTACTGTACAGAAATGAAGTAGGAACAATAGCTTAGTCAGAGTGGGTAAGTAACTAGACAAATCACACAGCTTAGAAAGCAAAGAAGCTAGACTTTAAACCCCCTTTTACTCAATATCAAATCTCCTCTTCCTTCCATAGATGATGCAGACTTTAAACATCAAAGTACACAAACTGAAGAAACTTTAGCCTTTGTATATAATTCTCTTACATATATGCCATCATTTCAAGGGGAGTTTATGCTAAGTGTGACTCCATAAACAAATCATTTGTGAAAGAGAAAAACCACATCCAGGGTAAAGTCATAAGGTGAAAAAGCCTATTTCAGAAAGCACTTCCTGAAAGAGACAAAGCAGCAATTACAGTCAGCTCAGCACCAACTCCTATGCCAAGCTTTACACTGGAAACTACTTTTTAAAGCAGCAAATGTCTAAAACAAAATACAACATTTCTTACTGTTTCCAGAAAGAGCTATTTAAACAGAGGCAACTCAAAGACATCTCTTTGACAGAAGTGGGTATGCTGAAAAATGTTCCTCTCTTATACAGCCTATTGATGGATACGAGGTAAGCAGCATTTAATTAACTTCATGATTATTGCCAAAAGTAATGCTTTATGTACTAAATTTCAAAAATGATTTCATTTTAAGAATACAGGCTGGGCACGATGCCCCACGCCTGTAACTCCAGCACTTTGGAAGGCCAAGGCAGGAGGATCACTTGTGCCTAGGAGCAACAGTGAGACCCTGGCTCTATAAAAAAAAGTAAATATAACTGAACCTTGTTAGTGAAGGACCTTGAAAAAGACTATACAATCATCTTTCCACATTAATACGATTTTGCATTTATTTTCAATATTGCTTTACATTAACAGTAAATATCATTTTTTCAGCTTAAAGGAAACATTTACCATATGTACATTTAGGAATGTTCATCACATGGTTTCAATTACATTGTTTCATGAAACAGTTTCTTTTTAAGAAAAGAAAAGCTACAGATAATCATGGTATCTACAGCTTTTAAAAAGCTGACTTGAAAGACAATCACTTTTCAATATTTATCCAAAAATCTGTCTGTGTTTGCAGAACACAACCAATATTATATTGCCTTTAAAACACATGCATCACTCATTTTTTTTTCAAACTTGAGCAAATGAATAGAAGTACTGGTGACAAATAAGCTATATAAAAACAGCTTGAGCCTAACGTGGGAAAAAAGATTTACTCAAAATGGTAAGTACAGGACTTATGCCACAAAATTAAAGGATGTGGATAGGTAAAGAGAGTCCTGATATAACACTAAAAAAGAAAAACAAATACAAAATTTCATTTATATTACAATTGCTACTACTTAAGAATTCATTCCAGTTAAATATAAGATTTAAGCCTCCAAAATTACTCTCCTTTGAATGACAGTGGATATATAATTTTTCTCTGCAATACTTTCCTCATTTGATAGAAATTAATATTCTAGACACACAAATATTTGAAAAATTTAATGTAAGTTTTAAAATATATATAATTCTACACCAAAGTCATATTTAACCTAAATATTTGAGAAGGAAAGATGGAAAGGAAGAGAAGGAAGGAAAGAAGGTAGGCAGGCAGGCAGGCACATATCTTGTGATTATCTACAGCAATTGCTCAAGTTAATTCTTAATTATCAATAGCCCATGATGCCACTGACCACAGCAAATCTCCCTCACAGTTTTCATCAAAGAGAAATTCTGGGCTGATTTCAAGACAGCCCACTCTGCAAAGTGACATTTTTGAAGGAAACTTTTTATCCACCTCCACATTTCAAGGGGACGCCACAGGTTCCATCTCATTGCAGCAAAATCTACTTTTAAAATCTGTTGTTGGTGTTGCATCATGGGGGAGTGAAGTTTCACACTGAGGGGTTCAATGATATTTACAACCCCAAATAAACTCCTTTCCATTTAAAATGAACAGATTTTTTTTGAGGGGGAGGGTTACGGAAATTTATTGGTTTCTACATATACATCAAGTTACTGAATGACTTCTTATTAATATCTACTTGCCTTAGATACTCCATTTTTTTATTTACTTAGAAAATTTTTAAAATTTAAATATTTAAGCTTCTGAATGTAGGTAGAATGAGGATATGAAAGTTACTAATGGCACTAGCTTATTTTCAAGGTGCTGCTTTCTGTGCACCACTGAAGTAGAGCAGCTGAAAGCTGTTTCTTGTTTTGGTGAACAAAACCTTCAAGACTTGGCATCATGTACTCCCAACTGTGCATTAGAAAATAGCTCATCTACTGTTCTAACAGTCCAGTTCTTGATATGTTGACCATGGCACAAAACACTACTGTTTCTAGACCTATAATTTAAAGAGAACATAAGGTTATAAATATTATAAAGTGTTTCCACTTAAAAAAAAAGTTTAATGGCCATCTAAACAACTTCCATTTTCTAACTAGAGAATTACAAATGAGAGTTTTTTAGCAGAACTGCTGTAAGTCATCTCACCAAAAGTTCCTTTATTTATTCATTGATTCAGTAAGTATTTTATTGAGTACCTATTAAATGCTCAATAGACAGTGGAGCTACAGCTGTAACAAAGGAAAAGTTCCTATTTCTCTCTCAAATGAGAATTACTGCAAATGTTCAGTAGTTAAACAGTTGAATCATTCCTTGATTAATTTTCCACATTTCTATTTACATATTTTGCATATTAAAATTATATTTAATGAACAAAAATACATTATTTAGACATTGCTCATCTGTTTGTAAAATATTTAAACAGAATGAAGATGATAAAAAGTGGCAAACAATTGCATAAGATTCAAAATTCAGAATGGCCTTTTCCCTATTATTCCAAATCAAAAGGACACTTTCAGAAAGAATTGTTACCTAATTTTACACTACAGAAAAAAATTGTAAAGAAATGGTTGTTCTTGTAGGAAGAAGGGAAGTGGGGGGGGAGATGTGAATGAAATTGTCAATGAATTATGATACCAGGACCATTTTAATAGATTGATACAAATTAGTAATATTCTCTAGGGAATGAATTCCTTAATAAATACTAAGACACACAGAGTGAGTCTATAATATAAAATGCTCTCAAAATTAAAATTCACTGACAGTCAAGCTGAGTGGGAGAATGTTAAGCATTTATTTTTCAACCAAAATTTTATTCCTATTTTTCTTAACTATTTTTACAGTTTCTAAGTGTCATGCCTACCAACAAGCTGTAAAATGATCACCCTGAATGATCAAGATCAACCTGTCCCTTTTAACAACTCACATCCAGGTGAATACAAAATTGCGGCCCTTGTCTTCTATAGCTGTATCTTCATAATTGGATTATTTGTCAACGTCACTGCATTATGGGTTTTCAGTTGTACCACCAAGAAGAGAACCACTGTAACCATCTATATGATGAACGTGGCATTACTGGACTTGATATTTATCATGACTTTACCCTTTCGAATGTTTTATTACGTAAAAGATGAATGGCCATTTGGAGAGTACTTCTGTCAGATTCTTGGAGCTCTCACAGTATTTTACCCAAGTATTGCTCTATGGCTTCTTGCCTTTATTAGTGCCGACAGATACATGGCCATTGTACAGCCGAAGTATGCCAAAGAACTTAAAAACACATGCAAAGCCATGCTGACGTGTGTGGGAGTATGGATAATGACCTTGACCACAACCATCCCTCTGCTATTGCTCTATAAAGACCCGGATAAAGGCTCCAGCCCCGCCACCTGTCTCAAGATTTCTGACATTATCTATCTAAAAGCCGTGAACGTGCTGAACTTCACTCGACTGACATTTTTCTTCTTGATTCCCTTGTTCATCATGATTGGGTGCTACTTGGTCATTATTCATAGTCTCCTTCATGGCAGGACGTCTAAGCTGAAACCCAAAGTCAAGGAGAAGTCCATAAGGATCATCATCACGCTGCTGGTGCAGGTGCTCATCTGCTTTATGCCCTTCCACATCTGTTTTGCTTTCCTGATGCTGGGATCGGAGGAGAACAGTTATAATCCTTGGGGAGCCTTTACTACCTTCCTCATGAACCTCAGCACGTGTCTGGATGTGATTCTCTACTATATTGTTTCAAAACAATTTCAGGCTCGAGTCATTAGTGTCATGCTATACCGTAATTACCTTCGAAGCATGCGCAGAAAAAGTTTCCGGTCTGGTAGTTTACGGTCACTAAGCAATATAAACAGTGAAATGCTATGAATAATAGAAAGGCTTTTTTTACTTCAATCACATTAAAATTCACTTTACGAATAGTCTGAGGTCAATGAGTATTTTGTATAATACTATCAAGTCCCTTTTCTCTTGAAAAAAATAAATTCATTATCTTCGTTTAAAAAATTTATATAAAACATTTTTGCAAATTATTGGGAGAAAAGTATCTATCTAATTTGTCTTTCATAGTCAAGTCTTATTTACACAGATAATTGAGTTAAAATTTTGCATTTAATTCTATGTACAAGTGACACGTGTATGTTAATCAAGTCAGCAGGAGGGGAAATCCAGCTACCATATAAAATAATTTGATTAAATTATTTTCTACCTAGATGCAGCTCTCTGCAAATTAGGTCTAATTTGCACTAGGATTAGTTGTAAGTCCAACATTTTATGTCCCAAACACCAACTTCCAGAATTCCTATACAGGAAATCATGTTGAACTCATTACTGTTACTTACTATAAGGCAAAATTAATAGGAACAAGAACCCGAGGGGGCCTGTAAAGGCTATCCCCATCAGCCCTCCCCAACTCTGAATTCATTCTTTTGAAAAAAGAGGACAGTCATTCAACAAACACTGAGAGCCTGCTATGCACCAAACCCTACTTAAGACTAACAATGAAAACCTAATCTGAAATGCTGTTTCTATCCAATAATCCAAGTTCATTTCTATCATGTGAGGTTAACTATAATATGGTGAAATACCACTCTCCAATACAAATAGTTACGTCTTCTTATGTGGTTAAAAATCCCATTTTTACAAGGGGTTAACTGATTTTTTTTCTAGGCCATATGTCACAGTATAAATGGTACTAATAGGAACCTTGAATTCTTAGTCTTGCCATTTAATTTCTCCTAATAAAGTAACAAACGAAGTAATTTACCATCTACAAAGGAAAGGAACTATAATCTGCAAAGCCCGTATTATCCTCAATACTATGGAAGTAAAATAAACGATTCAACTATAACTTCCTCTCCACTAAATTACCTTTATCACTCTTAACATAATCATATCCTACTGGGGCTTACAACCAAATACATGCATTGGTTAGAAATTGATTTCTGGCTGAACGTGGTGGCTCATGTATGTAATCCCAGCACTTTGGGAGGTTGAAGTGGACAGATCACTTGAGGTCATGAGGTTGAGATCAGCCTGGTCAACATGGTGAAACCCAGTGTCTACTAAAAATACAAAAATTAGTCGGGCATGGTGGTGCACGCCTATAATCCCAGCTACTCAGGAGGCTGAGGCAGGAAAATTGCTTGAACCCGGGAGGCAGGGGTTGCAGTGAGCCAAGACAGCGCCACTGCACTCCAGCCTAGGCGACAGGGGGACAGGAGGGTGGGGGAAGGGGAAGGGAGGGGAGGGAAAAAGAGAGAGAAAGAGAAAGAGAGAGAGAGAGAGGAGGATTTTGGAAATAACAGGTAAATTCATATTCTTTAGAAACAAAAAAAGATTAAAAAGCACTAAAAATTCTAATCATAAAATAGCATTTTTGCACTAGAAGGTCCCTCAGACAATCTTATGGTATAATTCTTCTGTCTGAAATATAAAAAACTGAAGTCCAAAGAGGTTATGTGACTTGCTCAGCTGAAGAACCACACCTAGAAACCAAGGTCAGTTCTTTTATATCAAACACCAATTTTTCAATAATAAAAAGCAAACATGTTTAGATAATGTAAACACTCTTAGAGCTACATGAGGTGGTACTGAGATGCAGTTTCTCAATAAAGAGAAAAACACAAAGATTTTAGTTTTAATAATCAAATGAGTAAATATATATCTTTATATGTTTTATATACATTAAGTATCTTTATAGATGTTATATTATCTTTATATATTATTTATATATCTTACATATGTTTAACACATAATTATTTCTAAAACTTTATTTGATATGTAGGTTTATTTTACACATATACATAGTAAGAGTCAACTCTCAACCACAGAGATGAATCTACACTTAAATTTATTAGATAGAAAAATTCTCTGCCATAGGTTGTCTTGATAAGAAGAGTTTAGTCATCAGCCTTGGGAAAGAATTTGTGACTAAGTCTTCAAAAGCAATTGCAAAGAAAACAAAATATGGCCATCCTGCCCAAAGCAATCTACAGATTCAAGGGTATTCCTAGCAAAATACAATGTCATTTTTTCACAGAATTACAAAAAAAAACCTATTCTAAAATTCACATAGAACCAAAAAAAGAGCCCAAATAGCCAAGGCAATCCGAGGCAGAAAAAAAAAAAAGGCCAGAGGCATCACATTATCTGAGTTCAAACTATAAGGCTACAGTAACCAGAACAGCACGGTTACTGGTACAAAAACAGACATACAGACCAGTGGAACAGAATAGAGAACCCAGAAATAAAGCCTTACACCTACACCCATTTGATTTTCAACAAAGTTCACAAAAATAAACAGTGGTGAAAGGATTCCCTATTCAATAAATGGTGGTGGAATACCTGGCTAGTCATAGCAGAAGAATGAAACTGTACCCTTATCTTGCACCACATACAAACGTTAACTCAAGACGGATTAAAGGTTTAAGTGCAAGACCTCAGGCTATAAGAATCCTAGAAGAAAACCTAGGAAACACCATTCTGGACATCAGCCTTGGGAAATAATTTGTAACCAAGTCTTCAAAAGCAATTGCAATGAAAACAAAAATTGACAAGTGGGGCCCCATTTTAACCAAAGAGCTTCTGCACAGCAAAAGAAACTGTCAACAAAGTAAACAAAACCTATAAAATGGGAGAAACTATCCACAAACTATGCATCTGACAAAGGTCTAATATCCAGAATCTAAAAGGAACTTGATTCAACAAGCACAAAACAACCCCATTAAAAAGTGGGCAAAAGATAGGAACAGATAGTTTTCAGAAGAAGACACACAAGCAGCCAACACACATGAAAAAAATGCTCATCAGTAATCATCAGAGAAATGCACATCAAAACCACAATGAGATATCATCTCACACCAGTCAAAATGGCCATTAGAAAGTCAAAAAAACAACAGATACTGGTGAGATCTGGGAAGAAAAAGGAAACTTATACACTGTTGCATATAAGTGACAACAGGGAATACTAATACACTGTTGGTGGGAATGTAAATAAGTTCAGCCACTAGGGAAAGCAGTTTGGAGATTTCTCAAAGAACGTAAACAGAACTACCATTCAACCCAGCAATCCCAGTACTGAGTACAGAGCCAAAAGAAAATACATCATTCTACCAAAAAGACACATGTACTCACATGTTCATCACAGAACTACTCACAATAGCAAAGACATGGAATCAGCCTAGGAGTCCATCAACAATGGTCTGGATAAAGAAAACATGGTATATATACACCATGGAATATTATGCAGCCATAAAAAAAGAACAAAATCATGTCTTTGCAGCAACATGGATGCAGTTGGAGGCCATTATCCTAAATAAATTAATGCAGGATCAGAAAACCAAATATTATATGATGTCACTTAAAAGTGGGAGCTAAACACTGGGTACACATGCACATAAAGATGGCAGCAATAGACACTGGGGACTATTAGAAAGGGAAAGGAGGGAAGGAAGCAAGGGTTGAAAAACTCACTACTGGGTACTATGCTCCCTACCTGGGTGACCAGATCATCTGTACCCCAAGCCTCAGCATCATACAATACATGTAACAAACCTGCACATGTACCCCGAGTCTGAAAGCTCAAATTTCAAAATACAGAAACAGACTCAGTGACCTATTGCATTGACAAACAAAGACAAAGATTTCTAGCTTGCATGACTCCAAGCAGATGCTAACTAAAATAAGAAAAAAGAGGGAAAGAGGATAGACAGGAAGCCAGAAGAGAAGAGAGCTTCTAAGCATGAGTTTTCTTTGAATCTATTAATCATTAGGAAGTAAGACTCTAGATCAGGCATGGTGGCTCACGCCTATAATCCCAGCACTTTGGGGGGCTAAGGCGGGAGGATCGTTGGAGGCCAGGAGTTTGAGACCAGCCTGGGCAAAATAGCAAAACCCCATCTCTACAAAAAACCAAATAACAACAACAAAAAAAAAACACTGGCCAGCTGCAGTGGCTCACACCTGTAATCCCAGCACTTTGGGAAGCCCAGGCAGATGGATCACCTGAGGTCAGGAGTTCCTGACCAGCCTGACCAACATGGTGAAGTCCCATCTCTACTAAAAATACAAAAAAAAAAAATAGCCCAGCATGGTGGCAGGTGCCTGTAATCCCAGCTACTCGGGTGGCTGAGGCAGGAGAATTGCCTGAACCCAGGAGGTGGAGACTGTAATGAGCAGAGATCACGCCATTGCACTCCAGTCTGGATGACAAGAGTGAAACTCCGTCTCAAAAAGAAAAAAAAATTAGCTGGGCATAGTGGCATACCTATAGTCACAGCTACTCAGGAGGCTGAGCTGGGAGGAGGATTGCTTGAACCCAGTAGTTTGAGGTTACAGTGAGCTACTATGATCTCACGACTGTACTCCAGGACTGGCCAACAGAACAAGACCTCATTTCTAAAAATAAAAGAAAGAAAAGAAATAAGACTCCAGAAAGATCAGTATAGTAGTATGGATTGGAAATAGAGAGCTGGGAAGCAAACAACAGACGTTCACTGCAGCTGAAATCAAAAGAGTGGGCAAGATAGCCCAAAAAAACTTGAGAGAAAAGAGCTGTATGCAGTAACTAAAGTTGAAAAGAACTAGGAGGGAGTAGTTTGTGGGACTCAAGAGAACAGGTAGTTTCATGAAATAAGGGGAGGTTAAAAGCATTTAATATGCTACTGAAAGATTAGATAGGATGACCAGTGCCTTTAGAAATTAGGTGGTCACTGGTGACCATTAAGAGAAGTTACTACAGTGGTGCGGTTAAAAATAAATAAGAGAAATAGGAAGTAAAGAACTGTAGGTCAGGTGCAGTGGCTCACACCTGTAATCCCAGCACTTTGGGAAGCCGAGGTGGGCAGATCACGAGGTCAGGAGATCGAGACCATCCTGGCCATGGTAAAACCCAGTCTCTACTAAAATACAAAAAATTAGCTGGGCATGGTGGTGTGCGCCTGTAGTCCCAGCTACTCAGGAGGCTGAGGCAAGGGAATTGCTTGAATCCAGTTGACAGAAGTTGCAGTGAGTTGAGATCATGCCACTGCACTCCAGCCTGGGGACAGAGCAAGACTCCATCTCAAAAAAGAACAAAAACAAAAACAAAAACTTTAGAGAGTGCAGATAAATTTGGTACTGATGGAGAAGAAAAATATTAGATATTAGGTGAAAAACGCTGCAAGTTGTAAAGCACACTGATTATTTTTAACTTTAAGTTCTGGGACACATGTGCAGAATGTGCAGGTTTCTTACACAGGTATACATGTGCCATGGTGGTTTGCTGCACCTATCAACCTGTCATCTACATTTTAAGCCTTGCATGCATTAAGTATTTGTCCTAATGCTCTCCCTCCCCTTGGCCCCCCCATCCCCTGACGAGCCCTGGTGTGTGATGTTCCCCTCCCTGTGTCCATGAAGCACATTGATTTAAACAAAGAAACAATAGTTTCCATAAAGGATATATTTGTGACTGGGTACAGCAGCTCACACCAGCAGTCCCAGTACTTTGGGAGGCCAAGAAAGGAGGATCACTTGAGCCCAGAAATTCAAGACCAGCCTAGACAACATAGCAAAATCTTTTCTCTACCAAATAATAATAATAATATTTTAAGAGATATTTACAGAATACAAAGTTCACTTGTTGAACTATGTTCCAAGAAGTCTATGTTTGAGAAAGCCTCAATATTAAAAAAAAGTCATACTATATACTGTAATGTTTTGTGACTTGAAAAGAAAGATATATTCTCATTCAGGAGGCAGCTGAATTAACATTTATAGTGTCTTTCAAAGGTGATGCTATAATGTTACAATTCATTCAAGTTTGTAACTCTTGCTAGAAACTGAGATTTAAGTAGGTAAATCCCTTCTCTCTTCTAAGAGTAAGCAAAAATATTCCCACCAACTTCAAAATCTAATCAATCTTTGTTTTATGCGCTAGTTAATAGGATTCCTAAATAAATAAATGAGTATGAAGGTTCTATTGTCATTCAATTTTATGTACAGCAGGAAAAAGGAGTGTCATCAGACAAGGGGACAGTGTAAATAAGAATTGATGCTAAGTTACTATCCATCTCCAAAGTTGATTCTAACACAGACATACATACCTCCCATCACTCAGTGGACTGTACAGGGAACCAAAAAGAACTGGCCTGAGAAGAGATGTTTTGGGGAAAACTGATGATTTAGCAATGCTGCTGCTTTCCTGAATCAACGTGGAATCATTCCTGATGACTACACTATTTTCCACAATAACAGAATAGTCAACTTTAACTTATCAGTCTAATTACAATGACCACCTGTGGAATTCAAACTGCATGCTAATTATGACACAGAACTTTATGTCTCCATTCAAATGTTACTCAGAATCATACATTAATAAAATAGCGCAAGGTCAACATTCATGGATATTCACACCAACTATAATTCACAAAGGGCAGCTACACTGTAAATATTAACAATGCAGGTATGAAATTTACTAGAACACTAATTTTTAAATAGGGATCCAAAGTGAATTTGAATCAAGATAGCAGCTTAATAGTTCTCAAAACACATATTTAAAATTAAAAGAAGAATGAAGATAGTACACACACAGAATTTTGAATATTTGGTGTCTACGTTTCATACAGACACTACCTTATTTCCAAAATAGTGTGTGTCTCAAATACGTAATTCAGATGCTTAGAGGTCATTTACATGTGCTAACAACTCTGCTCCTAGATTCTAGTTATTTCACACACCAATATATGGTTTTTGGTTTTTGTCTGTTTGTTTGCTTTTGAGATGGAGTCTTGCTCTGTCACCCAGGATGGAGTGCAGTGATGCAACCTCCGCTTCCTGGGTTCAAGCGATTCTTCTGAATCAGCCTCCTGAGTAGCTGAGACTACAGGCACATGCCACCATGCCCAGCTAATTTTTATATTTACTGGCCAGGATGGTCTCAACTTCTGACCTCATGATCTGCCTGCCTTAGCCTCCCAAAGTGCTAGGATTACAGGCATGAGCCACCAAGCCCAACCTGGTTTTTTGTTTTTGTTTTTTTTTTGAGATGGAGTCTTAACTCTGCCAATTCTGCTCCTAGATTCTAGTTACTTCACACACTAATATATGGTTTTTGTTTTTTTAAAGATCAACGCAATATGAAAGCATACACATTCTGCAGGTTGTCTACAAAGTTATAACCTATACACTGGCTTTGTTTTATGTTTGATGGAAGCGTATAAAACATTATCAGCTTTTAAAAAATCATTCTTCAGAAGCTTAACCTCATACAAATTAATTTTGTTTCCTAATCTAATTAAACTTTATATTTTTGTGTTTAGTTCAGATTAAAGACAAATTTCACTATAAAAACACACAAAACTAATCCTCAGGACCAGAATAGGAAATTCATTTTAAAAATTCTCCAAAACACAAAATTTCAAAGCTAAAAAAAAAAAAACTAATGTGGCTGGGTGCAGTGGCTCACACATGTAATCTCAGCATTTTGGGAGGCTGAGGCAGGTGGATTACCTGAGGTCAGGAGTTCAAGACCAGCCAAGCCAACATGGCAAAACTCTGTCTCTACTAAAAAATACAAAAATTAGCCAGGCATGGTGGCATGTGCCTTTGGTCCCAGCTACTCGGGAGACTGAGGCAGGAGAATCCCTTAAACCCAGGAGGCGGAGGTTGCAGTGAGTCAAGATCAGGCCACTGCACTCCAAACTGGGTGACAGAGTGAGACTTTGTCTTAAAAATAATTTTTAAAAACTTAATGTAAAACTGATTCTATTTCAAGAACATAATGAAAATGTAGGCATAAATTGGACATTTTTACATATGAAATCAATTTTACTATATCTAGAAGTTTAAAACATTCTTTTACTGACTTTCATATATAATAATACTTTATATCAAATTCAAGTAGTTCTAAATTAAGTCAGTCTTTAAGCGCTACTTACAATCCAGAAGGCAAATTACTAGCTGCAGTGATGCCAAAGGAATACTGCATAGCTTCAACGAGGAGAAAGTCAAATAAGGCTGACAAAACCCAGGAACCCAGCAAAAAGGACTACAAAATAAACAGCAGAAAAATCATAGAGATGAGTCTCCTAAAAATAAAGAAACATTTATTCAGCTAGAATTAGCTCAGAGGGGTGTGTGTGTGTGTGTGTGTGTGTGTGTGTGTGTTTCATGCAAGTTGCATGAAAGGTATTTGAATATTTTTTGTGCTTATAAGAAAACATATTCTCATTAAGATAACAGAAAACTGCCTGCAAGAAATTTTAGGATTGTGTTTAGTAAGATTTTTTGTAATTACATACACAAGCTAGAAAGAAAGGCTAACAAATGATGGAAATTATTTGTTTTTATTAAAACATTTTTGAATATGGGTGGAGTAAAACCATATTGCTCAAATGTATTAATATCCATAATTTTTAAGTATGCTGAAGATATATTTTTAACAACGAAAACACAAACCACTATGCAAAATAAATTATAATTTTATTAAAGTCAAAGTATTAAAATTTGTATTAGCTATTCACAACTAATATGACACATTATCATTATTATTATTATGCTGGTGTCTTACATTTTAAGATTTTCTTTGGTTAATGTCCATGTGCCTCAAATCAGATACAGAATTAAAAAGATAATTGTAAATAATAACACCAAGTTTAACAAAATAAAACCCACTTAAACAAAATTTTTTTCTATAGCCTAAGTAGCAAGGGCAAAATACATAAAAACTTACTGCGAATTTTCTGCTTCCATATCTTCTTTCAAATATCCTAAAATTATAAATAAGCAGACTACTGCAGAAAGTATCTTTCAAATCAAGGCAAATTATTCTTCCACATATCAACCTCCAAATCTAGATGGGGATTTAAAAAAGAACAATAAACAAGAGTAAGATTTGTTCAGGTATGTTCCTTAGCAAATTTATTATGTTTACACTGCCTATTTTGAATACTCTCAACAAAATCATAATGCACACAAAAAAGGAAAACTATATATGTATATTCTCTAAGAAACAAGTTCAAGTCTCTCACAGTAAAAGTTTCTTCCAACAGTAACACGAAAAGTACTTGCATTTTTTGTGTGTGCTTATAATAAGAAAACGTACTCTCATTAACCAAAAACTGCCTGTAAGAAATTTTAGGATTGTGTTTGCTAAGATTTTTAAAAAGTATATACATAAGGTAGAATGAAAGGATAACAAATGTTCATTTTTATGCTATTGAATAAGACAAACTTGTAACTGAAAAACAACTAAAGTATAAACTCAAAAATATACATTTCTGAGCTTAATTTTAATCATCAATCTACTTCATAGCAACTATGCACAAAGTAATTTATGGTAACTGCTGCTAAATATGACTCTGTTTGAAATATTAGTTTATTTAAATCATTGTTTCACCCAACTTCTAGCTGCATAAAAAACAGATAAGGGGAAATATATATATTAAAAAAAGAGCTACTTGACAGCCTATTTTGAGTCTGCTTAAACATTTTTCTGATTTTTAAAGATAATATCAATGATATTTAACAAACATTCTAATCTTATTTCCTCTTCACAATTACCTTATGTGATAGGTAAAACAAATATTAATCCCACCTTTGCTTTGTATTTTTATTGTAGTAAAACAGACATAATATTTATGATTTTAACTCCTGAGTAAACAATTCAGTGGTATGAAGCAAATTCACAATGTTATACAACCATCACCACTATCTATTTCCAGAGCTCTTCATCATCCCAGACAGAAAAGCTGTGCTAACTCCCTGTTCCCTCCTGCCTTAGCCCCAGGAAACAATATTCTATTTATGTCTCTATGAGTTTGTTTATACTGGATACCTCGTGTAAGTAAGATCATATATTTCTCCTTTTACATTTGCTCATTTCACTTTGCATATTTTCAAGGTTCACAGTAAAGTATGTATAAATCTCATTCTCATTTATAGTTGAATAGTATTCTATAGTATGTATATACCACATTTTGTTTATCCATTTATCTACTGATAATTTGAGTTTCTACCTTTTTGCTACTGTGAATAATGCTGCTGTGAACATTGGTAATATTAACTTTTTTTTTTTTTTAAGACAGGGTCTCACTCTATTGCCCAGGCTGCAATGCAGTGACATGATCACATCTCACTGCAGGCTCAACCTACTGAACTGAATCAATACTTGCATCTTAGCCTCCTGAGTACCTAAGACTACAGGCATGCACCACCACGTCCATCTAATTTTTGTATTTTTTGTAGAGATGGGTTTTTGCCATGTTGCTCAGGATGGTCTTGAACTCCTGGGCTCAAGCAATCCATCCACCTGCCTGCCTTGGCCTCCCAAAGTACTGGGATTACAGACATGAGCCACCACGCCCAGCCAACTCTGTCTTAAGATAAGGAAAAAGAGGCACAGAGAAAGTATTTGTCTAAAGTCATATAACCTGTGCTCTTGTCAACAGAAATTAGAATACAAATGAGAAGTCAGACCATATCAACTGTCAAAACATTTCACATATGTTTCTATTCCAATCAAGACACTAGGCAGAGTCTTTGTCATGATTTTACTGGCCACCAGAGTTCATCTCAGCCGCCAGCCCTGCTGACCTGAGGATGGCTGCCTACCAGGCTGTATTGAGGCCATAGCTGGGCTATTACAATGAAAATACTCAGGGACAAGCTCTGAGAGCCACTAAGAAAATCTGGGGATTGGGCCGGGCGCGGTGGCTCAAGCCTGTAATCCCAGCTCTTTGGGAGGCCAAGGTGGGTGGATCACGAGGTCAAGAGATCGAGACCATCCTGGTCAACAAGGTGAAACCCGGTCTCTACTGAAAATACAAAAAATCAGCTGGGCATGGTGGTGCATGCCTGTAATCCCAGCTACTCAGGAAGCTGATGCGGGAGAATTGCCTGAACCCAGGAGGCGGTGGTTGCGGTGAGCCGAGATCGTGGCATTGCACTCCAGCCTGGGTAACAAGAGCAAGACTCCATCTCAAAAAAAAAAAAAAGAAAGAAAAAGAAAATCTAGGGATTAAGGAAATTGAGACTTTATAATTACTAAAATACAACAAACTGCATTTTTAGAACCCCATTTTTTTCAGTTAATAAAAATAAAGCTGCTAGCTACAGTTTTAAATAATGTGTTACAATCATGCTCAAGGACACAAAACTGTGAGAGACGGTATAAGAATAAACCACTGCATATTATTATGCAGGTGAATGCCCCCTAAAGACTGATAACCGGCTTGCACTCAGCAAAGCACAGCTTCTGCGACTCAACCTGAAGAAAACTGACTGTACCTTTGCATTAATTGCCAAAATCTGGGAGATTCAGAACTTGCAAAATAAAGCCCTTCATCAACTGCCCCTCTTGGACTTACCCTGGGTTCATCTCAAAGCATGCATCCTGTAGCATACTCCTAAGGGTCTGAAGTTCATGTTACTTCCTGAAGTAAAATGGCCTTCCCTCTCTTCACTAATTCAGTCACTCCTTCTTTCAGACAAAACTGAAAGCTCACATCCCTCAGACTCTCCAGAGCTATGCCCCAACACTGGTCCCTACTTCCTTTATTGCCCCCTGAAGATGTCATGTACACCTGTGTCCTATAGACTCATGTTCTTACATGTATATGAGTGTTTAGATTTCCCAAGGCAGAACTGAAAGTCCTGTATCTCTCATGAATACACACTGAGAGCCTCTTAGGTGTTTTAACAGTGGCAATGTGGATGTGGCTATTCCCACTCCTGGACAGTAGAGTGGTCCTCTTCTAACCAAGCAGGTCACCACCTTTAAAGCACAGATGCCCACAGAGTGGGCTTAGCCAAATGAACCAAATTAACTCCAGAAATTAGGAAGGTACCAACCCAAGGCCTGGGGCCCCTTACATTAGTGGTCCTCAAAACCAGCCATATACTAGAATCCCCTGGGGGCTGTTTTTAAAAAGACAGCAATGTCCAGCTCTCACCATCAGACTCTTTGACTGTTGTTCTGCAGTGAGATACTGGGTTTATATAAATCTAGATATAAATTATACCTATGCATAAGTATAGATATGGAGACAGATCTCCCGTTTTTCCAGGTGATTCTAATGTGCGCCCAGGGTTGAGAATGACTGCGTTACAGCAACTGAAATAATACAGAAGCTATACTATCTTCTGAGAAATCAATCAGTAATACGGATAAATAACTGAAAGACCTGCACAGGAAGCTGAAGCCAATTTGAGCAATGGTATTAATTACATCACTATAAAGAAAAGGTGTCAGTGTTCAAGAAATGGATTATTATGCTAAAATGGGCTTGTGTTTAGCAAAGAAAGGGTGGCCGTCATATACCAGAATTTTTACTACCACTCCAATTCATAGACAAGAACCCAGCACCAGTATTTTCAACAAGATCAGTCTAGAAACCTTGAAAACCACAATTTCTGCTCCTTCCCGTAGCAGAAACTCAAGAGAAATTTCCTACTTCGTTTAACCATCACTGTAAGTATCATAAATTCATAATCTGATATAGCTGACAGAGCCTAGCTCCTGTAAGCAAATATTCAAAGTGAGACAAGGTTTTGGCAAAGCTAAGTATGCATATTGGACATTTAAAAAAAGATTTAGCGTTGTTTTTAATTCCCTTGAAGTTATAAATTGCATTTCTCTGAGTAAAAAGTGAAACTGAAAACAAATGTGCCTAATAAAAGGAAATACTGCCATTGCTTCATTATTCTCTGCTTTGCTAAAAAGAATCAATAAATACAACTAGAAGTTTCTTAATGAAATATTAATAATAAATATTTCTTACAAACTAGGGGCTTTGAGGGACTAATAATAGGAAGAAAAAGCAAATCTAGAGAAAAAAAAAACAAAACTGTTCTCTCTCTTCTGAGGGGCCAGTGAGGCAGAGCTCACCTGGAAGTCATTCTTGATTGCGTGGAGGTCATACACAAAGAGCTTCTGGCAGTGAGGCAGGAGAAGGGCCAGCAGGAGGGAGAGGGCACTGGGCACCAGCAGAAGGCTCTTCGACAGGGGCGCCTTGTCTGGAGGAAAAAGGAAACCACTTTCAGAATGATTGTTCCTAAGATTTAAAATACCACATGGGAAAAGCAAGAGAATTCACTTCTTTTAAATCAGAATGAAGACAAAGTCCAGAAACTCTGAAATTTGGTTCTAACATCCATTTTCAAATCACTGACCTGTGGAAGTAGTGATCAAAAGATGCTGGAAACAAGCAGAATGCACTGGCAGGGCTTCACTGTCAGTTGGCTCTTAAATGAGACCAAGTTTATAGCCAGAACTTCCACAGAAACACCTTTCAGAAAATGGTTACCCAAGTGTAAAGAAATAAGTGGGTTTTCTGTCAAATCAGCCAATTAGCTCCTGAGTAGGCACAAAAATTCATATATAAAAATATATTTTTAAGTTTTATTTTGTAATTGATACATATTAGGTGAACATGTTTTGGGAGTACATGTGATAATCTGATACATTCATATAATCACATCCAGAGATGGAGTCTCACTTTGTCAACCAAGTTGGAGTGCAGTGGCGCAATCTCAGCTCACTGCAACTTCCATCTCCCAGGTTCAAGGGATTCTTCTGCCTCAGCTTCCTGAGTAGCTGTGATTATAGGCACATGCCACCACACCTAGCTAATTTTCATATTCTTAGTAGAGACCACTTTTCGCCATGTTGGCCAGGCTGGTCTCAAACTCATGGGCTCAAGTGATCCTCCCACCTCGGCCTCCCCAAGTGCTGGAATTACAGGCTTGGGCCACCACGCCTGGCCCGGGGAACTATTTCTTTAAGCTAGGAACACTGAATTATACTCTTCTAGGTATTCTAAAACATCCGATAGATTAGTGTCATCTACAGACACCCCACTGATCTACCGAACACCCAGTCTTATTTCTAAATGTATGTTTGTACCCATTAATCAACCTCTTTTTATCCCCCTCCCTCCTACCCTTCCTAGCCTCTGATAACCACTAGCCTACTCTCTATCTTCATGAGATCCACTATATTAGCTCCCATGTGTGAGTGAGAATATGCAATCTTTGTCATTTTGTTCTTAGCTTATTTCACTTAACATGTCTTCTAGTTCCATCCATTCTGCTGCAAATGACAGGATTTGATTTTTTTTTTACGGCTGAATAATATTCGTGTGTGTGTGTGTGTGTGTGTGTGTGTGTGTGTGTATGTGTGTTCTTTATCCATTTATCCATTTTTTTTCCATTCATGCATTGATGGACACTTCAGTTGATTCCACATTTTGGCTATTGTGAATAGTGCTACAATAAACATGGAAGTGCAGATATCTCTCATATACTGATTTCCTTTCTTTTGAATATATATCAAGTGGATCATCTACTATTTGAAGAATCTCCATACTGTTTTCCACTGTGACTGTACTAATTTACATTCCCACCAACAGTGCACTAGGGTTCCCCTTTTTCCACATCCTGGCCAGCCTCTGTTTGTTTTGGGTTTTTGGGGTTTTTTTTTGTTTTGTTTTGCAGAGAGTTTTGCTCTTTCACCCAGGCTGGAATGAAGTGGTGTGATGTCAGCTCACTGCAACCTCCATCCTCCAGGATTCAAGCGATTCTCCTACCTCAGCCTCCCGAGTCTGGGATTACAGGCACCCGCCACCATACCCAGCTAATTTTTGTATTTTTAGTAGAGACAGGGTTTCACCATGTTGGTCAGGCTGGTCTTGAACTCCCGAATTCAGGTGATCCACCCACCTTAGCCTCCCAGAGTATTAGGATTACAGGCGTGAGCCACTGCATCTGGCAGCCAGCCTGTTACTCCTGTCTTTTTGATAAAAGCTATTCTAATTCACTGCTCATTGTAAAATATTTGTGAAATAGCTCATTGTGGTTTTGATTTGCATTTCTCTGATGATCAATGATGTTAAGTATCTTTTCATATGCCTGTTGGCCAGGTGTATGTCACCTTTTGAGAAATGTCTATTCAGATCTTTTGCCCACTTTTAAATGGGATTATTTGGGTTTTTGCTATTGAGTTGTTTGAGCTCCTGACACATTCTGGTTATTAATCCCTTGTTGGACGGATTAATCTGCAAGTATTGCAAGTATTTTCTCCTATTCTGTGGGTTATCTCTTTGTTGCCTTTCTTTTTCTGTGCAACTGGAGGTTTTTAGTTTGAGGGAATCCCATTTGTCTGTTTTTCCTTTGTCAGCCTGTGCTTTTGAGGTCTTACACAAAAAATCTTTGCCTAGAGCAATGTCCTGGAGCACTTCTCCAACATTTTCTGCTAGTGGTTTCATAGTTTCAGATCTTAGACTTAAGTCTTTAATCCTTTTCCTTTGATTTTTTATATATGTTAAGAAATATGGGTCTTTCATTTTTCTGCATATTATTAGCCAGTTTTACCAGCACAATGTTTTTTTGAAATAGGGTCTCACTCTATTGCTCAGACTGGTGTCCAGTGGCATGGCTATAGCTCATGCAGCCTTGAACTCCTGGGCTCAAGTGATCCGACTGCCTCCCTAGTAGCTGGACCTACAGGCACAAGCTACCACACCTTTTTTTTTTTTTTTTTTTTTTTAAGAGATAAGGTCTTGTCATGTTGCCCAGGCTGGTCTCAAACTCCTAGTCTCAAGTGATCCTCTCACCTCAGCCTCCCAAAGGGCTAGGATGATAGGCTTGAGCCACTACACCCAGCCCCAGCACAAATTTTTTGAAGAGACTGTCCCTTCTCCACATGTTCTTGGCACCTTTATTGGCTGCAAATGCATGGATTTGTATCTGGGTTTTCTAATCTGCTTCAATGGTCTATGTGTCTGCTTTTACATTAGTATCCTGCTATCTGGTTACTCTGTAGTATATTTTGAAGTCAGGTAGTGTGATATTTCACTTTGTTCTTTTTGCTCGGGATTACTTTGGCTACTCAGAGTCTTTTGTGGTTCCATATAAATTTTGGGATTTGTTTTTCTATTTCTGTGAAGAATGTCACTGATATTTTCACAGGACTGCATTGAATCTGTAAATTGCTTTAGGTAGAATTGCCATTTTAACAATATTAATTCTTCTAATCCATAAGCATGGAATACCCTTTCATTTTTTATGTGTTCTTCAAGTTCTTTCATCAGTGTTTGATAGTTTTCCTTGTACATACATTTCACATCTTTGGTTAAATTGTTCCTAGGTGTTTTGTTTTTAAAAAATTAAAAGAAGCCAAAGTGTTAACACTGCTGTCTGCAGTGGCCTGAGATTTTCCACCATGAGTACAATTGGAGCCCAGGTCAGTTTTCCAGGAGAGCCTAGTGTAACCTCTGCCTTGCACTAAAGCAGTCACAGCCCTCTTCCTCCTTGATCTAATCATTTACATATTAAGTATGAAAGAATTATACTACTAAGGTTATTTTAGAAACTATAAATGTCTTCTCTCTTCCCTCTGATATGAGAGAAAAAAGCAGCGTATATGTTTTCTTCCAGCTCACTTTTTTTCCCAATACAACAAAATGTCAGTTTTACCTACTCAGGAACATTTCCTCCAAGTATGTCATTTAATCAAAATGTGCACTATTGTTAGACATCTAGGTAGCCTCTTCTCTCCCTCCTGGTCTTCCTTGGTTCCACCTTTGTGTTTTTGTGCTTTCCTCTCTCTTAGACCCTGAAAACAAGCCTCTGAAGCTATCTGCTGAGCTAATCCACAGGGCAGAACAAGCGCTATGAGAAGGGAAAGGACCTGGGGCCCAGAAGACTTGGGCTTGAACCCTCATTTTCACACTTATTGATGCTTGTCATTGGACACAGCATCTGACCTCTCTGAGTTTCAATCACCTCATCTGACCTAATTCTCAGGGTTACGCTAAGAATGAAGTGAGGTAATGCATGTAGAAATGGCTAGCACAGTGTCCGGCCCATGATGGGAGCTCAGAAATATAAAGTGAATCTAAATCTAGGAAAACTGCTAAATTAACATGTTTTCCTTGGAAATAATTACTTCATATAATAACCCTGTAATATTCATAGTATCAAAAGTCTAGTCTTGAGAACTCAAGTGGTACCAGCAGATTTGATTACAAAAACATGGCAGAGATTTCCATCAAATATTGAAACACGTAAGCTTCATCAAGAACCAAAAACATTGCCTTTTTTTTCTTAATACAGTTGTATTCTCCCATCCTTTTATTTTGAAAAAGTTTACAATTAAGACTTACACTGGGAATTACATAATGATAATTTTGATAATTCTATCACTGCTTTTATATTTCTTAGCTGGTATTCTGTCTTCATTCTTCTTGTATCTCGGTATCACTCTACACTCATGGATTTTTACTTAGTCAATGTGTTAAATCAGCTGCATTCTTTCTCCAACATTCAAACTGTCTGGGTGGAAGCCCTCTGACCAGCTCCTGTGGCCTTTTAACCACGGCCCTCCATGCCTGCTCTGGCTGCCCCACTCACCCATTTTGTCCTTGCTTTAGGCTCTCCTTGCCCAAGACCTAGAATTTCTCTAAGGCTTCCTGTTAGGGAATGGGAAATGTTGGGAATGGTCTTTAGAAACAAAATCTGAGGCTGGGTGCCGTGGCTCACACTTGTAATCCCAGCATTTTGGGAGGCTGAGGCGGGTGGATCATGAGGTCAGGAGTTCAAGACCAGCCTGGCCAACCTAGTGAAACCCCATCTCTACTAAAAATGCAAAAATTAGCCAGGCATGGTGGCACGTGCCTGTGGTCCCAGCTACTCAGGAGGCTGAGGCAGGAGAATCACTGGAACCTGGAAGGTGGAGGTTACAGTTAGTCAAGATCACGCTATTACACTCCAGCTTGGGCAACAATGTAAGACTTCATCTCAAGAAAAAACAAAAAGAAACCAAATCTGGGTACTAGATGTGCTCAGTGCAATTTTGGTTCCCAATGCTTCTAGCTCTTTCAGTAATCAGCGCTAGAAAATATATTTTTGAAATCATGATTCATAATGATATTTCCAATTCAAATTCAACAATTTAACACTACAGTACTCTTTTTCTTTTCTTAAGATAGGGTCTCCTTGTATAGCCCAGGCTAGAG